TCACCACTCACTCTTACTACTCACCACTCACCCTCAACACTCACCCTCACCGCTCACCACTCACCCTCACCACTCACCCTGACCACTCACCACTCATCCTCAACAATCACACCCTCACCAATCACCACTCACCCTCACTGCTCACCCTCACTGCTCACCCTCACAACTCACCCTCACCACTCATGCTCACCCTCACCACTCACCCTTCACTAATCACCACTCACAACCGCCACTCACCCTCACCACTCACCCTCACCACTCATTCTCACCAATCACACCCTCAACAATCACCACTCACCCTCCCCACTCACTAATCACCTCTCACAACCGTCACTCACCCTCACCACTCACTCTTACCACTCACCCTCACCACTCACCCTCACAATAACCACTCACCCTCACAACAACCACTCACCCTCACTACTCACCCTCACCACTCATCCTCACCAATCACACCCTCACCACTCACCCTCACCAATCACCACTCTCCCTCACCACTCTCCCTCACCACTCTCCCTCACCACTCTTCCTCACCACTCACCCTCACCAGTCACGCTCACCACTCACGCTCACCACTCATCCTCACTACTCACCCTAACCACTCACCACTCACCCTCAACACTCACCCTCACCACCACCACTCACCCTATTCCCGTTTTAAAAACTTACTTACGTGTCGCCAAGTATGCTTGAGGGTGATTGGTGATTGGTGAGGGAGCGTGGTGAGGGTAAGTAGTGAGGAATAGTGGTGAGGGTGAGTTGTGAGGGTAAGTGGTGAGGGTGAGTGTGAGTGGTGAGTGGTCAGTGATAGTGAGTGGTGAGTGATAGTGAGTGTTGAGGGTGAGTGGTGATGGTGAGTGAGGGAGAGTGGTGAGGGAGACTGGTGAAGGTGTATATATTTTTACCAATGATGACAGCAGTACATGCTGACGTTTTGTATGTTAAATGTAAAAGCTAAATGTGTGAATGTGTGCGTGGGAAATGTTAAGCAAACGTGGCAGGAATAGGGCGATTCTAAAGGAATCTACAACCTTCGATGATTCCTTTGCGCGATTCAAAGAATCGATTCCTGGCACGTAGGAGGTTTCCATATTTAATTACAGAGTTTTATTTTCATTGGTATGTTATGTTTTAAAGTTTTCAGGAGTTTTTAATTATATTTTTGCCCTGGTCAACGCCGGATATTTCCCATTCGTAGCAGTTTACATCGACTCTATAACAAACTTATATTAAACGTAAATAGGGCGATTCTAAATGAATCTACAACCTTCGATTCCTTTTCGCGATTCAGAGAATCGATTCTTGGCGCGGTCGGGTTTAGAATTTTAATTACACAGTCGTATTTTCATTGGTATGTTATGTTTTAAAGTTTTCAGAAGATTTTAAATGTATTTTCCCCCGGGCAAAGCTGGGTATATCGAGTTTATACCACAAAGTCGTCACCTGACACGTGTGGGGTGTCGAGGCCAAGTACCGTGCAGAGCCTCCGGCCTCGCCTAGATTGCCCACCCGGCTGAGGGTGGGTACCGGGGCCGTTACGCCCCCCCCCCCCCGCGCTACAATAATACTGTCTAATCACTATAATTTTATTATCTACCGACCCTATAATAGTAGTATAATAGTAATTACCTCAGAGTCGCGTGTTAATGTGTGCGCATATTTTTAACGGGAATTAAAAATGGCGTTGCTACCCGTTGCCAGGGGCAACTGCCGTGGTCCGCGCCGGTCGGCAATATTAAATAAACAAATAAAGAATTAAATAAATAAATATAGAGAAATCGCACTAAATCGATAATCGGTCCGATTTAAAGTTTAGAGACGAAAAATCGGAAATGCCTAAGTTTACCGCGGGGCCGGGGGCGTGCCCACTTGCAAAATTTAATCTCGGCGAACCCCACGGTCCGAGAGCTACATCCCCCAGAAGGGAGCGTACGCAGACAGACGGACAGACAGACAGACAAAAAATGAATTATATAGGTTAGATGGCTATAATTCCCCACAAACTTTGCTTTTGTGACCAGTACTTTACGTGAAGTAATGACACAAATGCACACGTTTTCTCATTGAAAATAGGATCATTTCAAAATATCCCTGTCCTGTTACACAGTGTATAATTCATCCGAACTGCATAGCCAGCCGAACAGCGTTGTGGAAAAAAATAGGGTTTAAAACCCAGAAATCTCACCGTCCACTTTCCACTCCGCACATATATGAATAAGTGAATTAACAATGCACAAAAAATATAAATAACCCTCCCCGCTACTAAATTGGGATCGTCTGTGCAGCGGCTGTGATTGAAGAACGAGTGAATCGCTCGCGACGTGTTGCTTGTGATAATTAATTAGCGGTCATCACGGACATTGGCAAATGTGTAGGGCTACCAGTTACTCTCTTCATCGCTCGCAATAGTGGATTAAGTGATAACTTACTTATTCATCCAAGGTGGACGTTGCCTAATTCATATTTCAGTGGTGAATAAAATATCTCGGTGACACGAAAGTTTTTTTTTTCCAACGTGAAAACAGTCCGCGTTGACCTTTTGGATTATTAGCATAGCGGCAGAGCAGACGCGTTTTCAAGTTGCCAACAGGTTGTTGTTGTTTTGGTTGTTCTGTACAGCCCCTTTGTCAATCCATTTCTTGGTGAAGCCTTCTCCCGGGCAAGGTCCGTCATGGGGGTTGTTTGACCATACTTCACCACGCTGGTCAGTGGGGCGGGGGGGGATGAGAAGAAGGGCGTTGGTGGGGTGGGCAGCCCAGGTCCGTTGGACGACAAACTCAGCTCACCCGGATTCATAGTGCAGCACGACTACTACCGCTTCAGCCCCATGATGAATGTTCATTCAGAATGAAAAAAACCCATTCTTGTCTCACAGTGGTGACTGCTGCTGTTGTTTTTGTTGTGATCATTAGCCTGCAACTTCCCACTGCTGAGGAGAGGCGACCCCCATCATTCCCCCTTCTTTCCTTTATTACTCCTGTCCAAATTACTCAGGTGGCATTCTACACATCAATCATTGCCCACACCTCCCTCACCCCTACTGACAGATCGTTGCCCCAGGTCAAGACTTCCAAATGTAACTCATCCTAGACTCTGTTTAAGCGAAATAAACTTGAAACGTGGAAGGAGTCAACGTCATGTCCGTGACGTCGTCTCACTCTCATCTCTCGCCGTCATCATCTGCTTCTTTTGCCTTCTCGCGGTCTTCACCCCAGAGTTCACTCTGACTCGCATCTCTCCTCATTCCTCCTCCATTCTCACTTCATGTCCTTTACTATAAGGACAGCATCAGAGATCCCCGTTCATTTCCGTACTTCTTCATGACATCACACTATCTCTTTGACAAACTGCTTACACGCAGTCCTACTTTCCCCACAATTCTCAGTTTTTGAGTCACATCGTACTGCACAGCCAAGCCCCTACATTGAAGGCCTTGGTGGAGGACGTGTCTACGTGGGTTTAATTGCACTCATGGTGTCGCCTACCCACTCTGGGGCTCAAATGAGCGCATTTCGTACGAGCAAATTGGTCGAGAAAAACGTTTGGATGGACTGCGAAAATATAATCAATTGCATTTCGTCACTGTGATATATGAACTACACTTAATACAGGTAGAAACAATGTTCCACACTGCCCACCAGGGATTTTTTTGTCTGTAGCGCATAAATATATAAATAATATAAACAGCTCTTCGATTGGTGGAGACCTACTGCCGGGTATGGAGAGGGGAGGGGCCTAAGGGAAGGGGGTCAGGGGAGGGGCCTAAGGATATGGGGGGGTTGTGGTCAGGGGAGGGGCCTAAGGATATGGGGGGTGGTCAGGGGAGGGGCCTAAGGGAGGGGGGTCAGTGGAGGGGCCTGAGGGAGGGGGGTAAGGGGAGGTGCCTAAGCAAGGGGGAGGGGCCGATAGTTAAGGGGGCTGGCTACCTGGCTGGCTTCCTGGATACCTAAAGTCAAGATTTCTTTTATACAGGTAGGAACAACAGGTTCCACACTGCCCACCAGGGATTATTTGTCTGTCGTGCACGAATGCGCTGTCCAACCAAGTTCCTACCTGCCCACTCCGAAGGAACGTGTTTTAACGTGAATGTAGCATCGTGAGACCGTGAGTTGGGAGGTGGTAATGGTGGTGGATCTTGAATGGTGGTCGCTTACCAAAGAGCTGTCCAGGCTGGAAACCCTTCTTACCTTGCGAGACCTCACGTACACGAGGTGGTGCATCACAGGCGGTGCTGGAGTGCTCACATGCCGCACAGTGGCGCAGCTTTCTGGTGTGCAGGCGGTGCAACTGCACCGGGCCTCACAGCTGGGACGGGGCCAAAACACCGGACGACGAAGAGGTGGGGGGGGAGGTACGGGATATTGGACAAAGGGGCCCCACTTCATTCCTTGCAGCACGGCCGACGCCAAGCCATGCTACGCCACCGTTCTACTCCCAGGACTAGCACTGGGTTGTAGTTGACATTTTCCCGCAGCCATAGCAACGGCAAGGGTATAATTGATCTATGTATGTTGAACTTCTATCGCACCATACATAAACCACCGTGCTAATTGGAAAATGGATGTGGTCATTGACCCGGACAGACCCGGCTAAGGTTTAGCCACTTGTCTTCTCCTGCAAACACCCGACCCACCCCATTCAATATGGGGCAGCGACGATCGGTCGACTACATCGATGAATCGAATTCGAATTGTGACCGGCTACTTTCATTGTGGTCAATCACTCGGGCCCCTTTAAAATTGGATGTCGCTTCCACATCCTGCCTTCTAAAGGCTGGCAACCCTCTTCAAGCCACACCCAGCGCGACGCCGCTAAAGATGTCATGAGCCCCCCACCCATCATCGCCTGTACAGTAGCACACTGGGATTTTTTTCTTGCCCCCCCCCAACTATTTTGTGCGAACCGAATAATTGGGTAATGAAGCTGATATTTGATCAACCAGTTAAGTTACGAGATGTCCCGACTCTGAATGACTCCCTGCCGTCGTTGTGCGCGGGTAGGAGGAGCATGAAGCGTGATGCGACCTACACCTGCCCGCTGGGTGGCCACTGCACCATTACCAAGGACAACCGGCGTCACTGCCAAGCATGCCGGCTCAAACGCTGCACGGAGATCGGCATGATGAAGGAGCGTGCGTACCGCCACCCAGATCCACCGACTAATCCACCCACCCACCCATATGCTCAACCACCCATCCACACAACCACATACTTATCCACACACCCACCCATCCGCCGACCAGCCAGAACACCCACCGACCCACTCACTGACACAACTAAGAAGATGAATCCCTGCAGTCACGAAAGCTTTAAATCGAAATTTAATGTATTTGTAATATTGTAAATTACGGCGGGAGTCCACTTGACGGGTAGCACACTTTATTAACACTTTTAGCCACAATAACACGGGTGGCCAACTACAGCCTACACTACGCGTTCCACCCGGCAACACACACACGGGCTCTCCAGCCCCGTAGCTTCCAGGGGAACTCACAGACCCACCCGGCTGGGGTATGGGTCACGACCACTGGGTCCCGCAGCCCGGCCCTCACAAGGACATCCGGCCGCGGGTCCCAAGGTCCCGCCTCTGAGCCACACAGGGTCCCGGCCCTTACAAGGACAGTGGGGCTAGGGGTCTCAGGGCCCTATCTCTTCCTCCTCCGTCTTCTGTCTTCACTGGTCACCAACTCCCCGAGCGCCCGCGCGCATTGCCTTTCATAGTCCTCTGCTCCCGAGGGGGCGGAGCCTATGTGGACCGCGATGTGAGCACCCACTCTAGTTGACCAATCACCACGCCCTGCCACACGATCCCTTTTGCCAGCGCGTGTCACCACTACATAGCCAATCACCACGCGCTGCCACACGATCCCTTACTGCCAGCGCGTATCACCAATACATAGCCAATCACCACGCGCTGCCACATGATTCCTACTGCCAGCGCGTATCACCACTACATCACCCCCTCCCACATAACTCGCAGCTGGCCCGGCTGCAAAAAAAAAACCCCACTCCACAAGTGTGCCCCGTAACATAAACAACGCAACACAACAACACAACCCCGGACGTTAACCAGTAACAACAACGAACTATGTACAAACCGACGAGTAACACAATAAAAGTTATTTTCAAGAGACCGATGTGTCCAGTGTCTCCTCGACCCCCTGATCCCCCTCCCGCTCGCCTCTTGAACGAAACGATAGAGCGGTCGAACGGACGGGGAACGCTGTGACGAGACGATCCGGCCGACTCTTCCCGCACCTTCACCTCATTTATTCGGTCAGGAAAAGTGGCGCGATCTAGCGCGAGTCTGCCTGGCCGGTCCGTCGTACGGGACGGGACGCTGTCGACCATCCGGTGGATCCGGCAGCCCAGGGAGGCACGGAGCGGGCCTGGAAGAACCGCCCGTGACTCGGGGATCCGGTCGCCGGTGGTCGGCAGCCTTCAGTTCCGAGACACCTGGGAGCGGATCAGGCGAAAACATGTGAGGATCAGGCGGAGACATTTCTCTCCCCGGGTCGCCGGTCACATCACATGCTCGGTCCTCATGACATAAAGGAAGGCCATATGGTGGCGAGAATGGTTTCAGCCGGGAGGGATGAACGTACCAATGGCGCTTTCTACATTTTATCTGAACACACTGGGGTTGTGCAACCCGCACGACCTCCACGGGTCCCTGCCATGGCCTCAATAATTTAGGCGACGTAGCCAAAGGCGCATGAGGGCAGTGCAGCCAGGCCCTATCGCCCGGTTTCCAATCGTGCACGGACACCTTCCGTGCACGCAAGCGCTCATTAGCGATTTGGCGAGACCTTGAATTTAGCCGTGCGGCCTCCCATGCCTCGGCCAGTTTTGCAATGTTAAATTTGATATAGTCGGCCAACTTGGAATTAGGCCGTGGCACGGAAAGTCCCAGCTGAGCCTCCATGGGCGGATCGGCCTCCCGACCGTACATCAGATAAAATGGGGAAAATCCCGTAGCTGCATGGGGGGCCATCCTGTACGCGGCGAGGACCCCCGGGACCTGCAAGTCCCAGTCAACCTGTGCCTCGCACACCTGCTGGCACAACATGGAAGTTAAAGTTCTGTGGAGTCGCTCCACCATCCCGTCAGTCTGTGGGTGGTACGGGGAGGTACGCACCTTTTTTGTACCCAAAAGGTCGCACACCTCATGCAGCAATTTGCTCGAAAAATTCCTCCCCTGGTCGGTCAGCAAGCGTTCGGGAGCCCCTTTGTCCAAGACGTAGCCCTGGACAAAGGCGTCTGCCACGGCCGCCGCTGACTGGTTGGCGAGTGGCCACGCCATAGGCCATCGAGTGAAGTATTCCACACCAACCAGCAGGTACTTGTTACCCCTAGGCGTGACAGGAAAAGGCCCCAAGATATCCAGCAAAACGAGCTCGTTCGTGCGCGAGACCTGAATGGACTGCAGTGGTGGATTTGGCGCAACGGGCGATGGTTTCCGTTGCACGCAATCCACACACCCCTTCAGTATGTTGACCACATCACTCCCCATCCCCGGCCAATAATAGTCACGCTGGAGCAGAGCGAGCGTTTTGTTTACTCCCAGATGCAAGAGGGGTTCGTGTGCGGCCAGAACAACTTTGCCCCGCATAGTGGAAGGCACGACGAGTGTGTGCCGCCGGGACATATTGTCCCATCTCATTAGCAGGCCCTGTTTAAGCAGCCAGGAGCCGGCTCCCTTCTGACCTTCCTCGGGACCCCCCGCCCTGCGACGCAATGCAAGCAGGGAGCTGTCAGCCATCTGGAGTCGGCCCCACTCAACGAAACGAGAGACAGTGAGAGTAGCGAGTCCCCGCCCACAGGAGTAGCGGGAACATCGACCAATGGTGCATTCGCGGCCGCGACCAACTCACCCTCGGGGACAGCGACATGCGGTTTACAACGCGCCGACCCCATCAAGCACGCACATTCGGGACGAGGTGACAACCGCGACAGGGCATCCGCGTTGGTGTGGCGTAACCCCTTACGGTAAGTGGCCGTAAATTGATAGTCCTGGAGGACCTCCAACCACCGTGATAATTGGCCCGAGGGTTGGGCGACCCGCAATGCGTACTGAAGCGCCGCGTGGTCTGTACGGACCGTAAAATCACGGCCATAGAGATACGGTCTAAATTTCTGTACAAAAAAAAACAATAGCCAGCAACTCGCGACGGGTCACACAGTAGCGCTGTTCCGCTGGTGATAAAACCCTGCTACCATAGGCGACCACCCGTTCGACTCCCCCAACCACCTGTGAGAGCACCCCCCCAATGCCCGTGTTACTAGCATCAGTATCCAGCAAGAAGGGTCTCGTAAAATCAGAGTAACACAAAGGCGGGGCACCCACCAAGGCGTCCCGAAGGGAGCAGAACGCGGCCTCCTCCTCTGGCCCCCAGCGAAACCTGACCCCTTTGGCTGTCAGAGCATGCAAGGGTTTGGCAATGGTGGCGAAATGCTCAACGAATCGGCGGTAGTAGGAAGCAAATCCAATGAAACTGCGGACCTCAGAAACCGACGTGGGCGTTGGCCATGAACTGACGCAGTTCGTCTTCGCGGGATCGGTGGAGATCACCGAAGAGTCGACAACGTGGCCCAAGTACCGTACGGATTGCTGAAGCAGGTGGCATTTAGCCGGTTTAAACTTCAACTTAGTCGATCGCATCCGCAAGAACACCCCCCTTAATCGTTGGAGGTGTTCCTCGAAAGTTATACTGAAAATGATGACATCGTCAAGGTAAATCAAGCAAGTATCCCATTGCAGACCCGGAAAAACCAATTCCATAAGGTGCTGAAACGTCGCGGGAGCGGAATGGAGTCCCATGGGCAACCGATTAAACTGGAACAGGTCCCCTGCGGTCCGGAATGCGGTCTTAGGTTTAGACTCATCGTCGAGTGGTAATTGCCAGAATCCCGACAGTAAGTCAAGTGTAGAAAAATACCGCGCCCCGGATAATGCGTCCAGAGACTCATCCATTCTGGGGAGCGGATACGCGTCAGCCACGGAGATCTTATTAAGGCAACGGAAGTCTACACAAAACCGCAAGGACCCGTCTTGTTTCTTAACCAGAATGATGGGTGCTCCCCATGGACTGGATGAGGGCGAAATGATGTCGGCGGTTAGCATGTCATTGACGGCCGATTGAACGTATTCCTTCTCGGTAGGACTCAGCCGGAAGGGATTCTGCCGGACTGGTGCTGCATCACCTGTTTCAATGTGGTGGCGAAACAGGTCTGTGCACCCAATATCATATTTGTGCTTGCTGAACACATCGGAGAATTCGATCAGCAGAGCGCGCAGCGCACCCAATTGCACCCTCGACAAATTACTGGAGCCCGCACACAGCGAGTCCAACCATTGCAGGTCCTCACCTGATTGAATTTTCTGCGCCGGGACGGGATCAACATGCGCAATAAGCCGCTCTTCCGTAGGGACCGGTGCCGCGTGAGCAAGCACGGTGCCCTGCGGAATAACGGCCGGTCGCGAACCAGCGTTCAAAACATGACGAACGGGTCCACGTCAGCCCGAAGCAACGTCTGAGCCACCGCCAAGTCCAGACCCCCAACAGCTCTATTCTACGGACCCAAAAGCACGCCTTGTCCCGCAGTCTCCCCACCCAATGGCTTCCGCAACCGGAGGGGTACCAACATCTGCGAACCCGGGGGCACGTACACCGTATGGGTCGCTAGCGCTTGGATCGTCGCACAAGCCGTCCGCAGCTTAGTAGGGTTAGACAAAAAGGAAATACGGCGACCCGATGGCAGCTCAATACAACCTTGATCAACAAGAATTTTAATCGGCATCTTAGCCAACAAGTCTGTACCCAACAGACATGGAACCACTAGGGAAGAAGAGACCAAAACAGGTCCCGCCAATTTAATATCCCCTATGCAAATGCTCGCCCGAATCTGACCGACAATGCCCAACGAGCCCACATTCGCCGCGTAACATGGCACGTCCACCGGGAGCAGAGGCCGACATTGGATGGGGAGAATGTTATAAATGAGATCGGAAATGATAGTCGCTGACGCTCCCGTGTCCACCAACACCCTGACCTCGATACCGTCTATGAATCCCGTAACGACAGACGACCCGGCCGACGCAGCCACCATTCTGTGGCCCAACTCGGACCAT